GTTTGTTAGTTTAGGTTTTGGTTTTCCACTTGAGAATCCATAAAAGCATTTCTAGTTCCACTTTGTGAAGATAAAAATTGAGCAGGTTGTTGAGTTGTGTACAACATGTACTATTATTAGATTTGAAGCATTGGCCAACAATATTCACTGTGGATTTTACTGAAAGTTAATATTCCTGATATTAATATATTAATCAGTTTAACCATATTAACAATACTGCTGACACATTCATCTTCATAAGGGAGTTGTAAATTTGTAATTGTTACAACAATGAGACATAATTGAATTTTTTATTTTCTTGTTAATTATTTAAACATATAACTTATATATCAATTTATGAATGACTCCATAGGTAAGTCCTGAATTTCATTCAGTACGGCCACAATTATGTAATTTAATGGTTAGATGAGTATACTTTTCCAACAACAATTATGTAATTTAATGGTTAGATGAGTATACTTTTCCAACAAATATGCACACTTTTAAGTTCCGCCTTGAAGTTCAATTTCCATCGAGCGGCGGGTAGAATCCTTTGCAGACGACTTAAATACGTGACGGGGTATTGTAAGCGGCAGAGTGACCTTGCTGCCACGATCCGCTGAGATTCAGCCCTTTGTCGCTTCGATTCGACGGGCGGTGTGTACAAAGGGCAGGGACGTAGTCAACACAAGCTGATGACTCGCGCTTACTAGGAATTCCTCGTTTAAGACCAACAATTGCAATGATGTATCCCTAAATTACTATTCTTGAAAAAAAAAAAATATAAATATAAATATGACATTTAATATTATAATATTCATTTTCCTTAAGGTGAAACAAAAAATAAACATGACGGGTCAGGTCAACTCACCTTACACCGCTTGATACAAAAATTTATCAATTTAGGATGATGCACATAGTGGGTGTGTTTGTTCTAGGTTGGTTCTAGGCGATCCTCTGAATCTGTCCTCCAATTAGATTCGGCTTTGGAGCCGTCCTTTCGACTTTTGAGCTGTATTCTAGATGTATGTATGTGTTTTTTTATATATTATTTCTATCGTTTGGAAAAAAAGATGATGCACATAGTTAATGTTGTGAAACGGGAACAATACGAATTAAAGACGATAAAGTAAATGACACAAGATTTACGTGGTTCGGCAATATGCCTACGTCCACGGCGGAGCAGAGATCTTATTATTATTCACGATATCCCAAATACATCAATACACCATGTATTTATATCATATCCCTACAAGGTATAAATTTACATAAATACCCCGTACCGTACCGCGGGGGCTCCGCCCCCGCACCCCCGGCCCAACTAATCGACCCAGCCCCACAAAGGGCCGATGCCTGCTCGCGGAACTCCGCTCGCAGGCATCGGCCTGCCTCCTTCCTTTGTCAATATATGAGCCATATCAACAGTTAACTTATTGTGTTGTGGATCTAGGGAAGGAAAATAAAATTGGGAGTATTATCCTTTAAATCCACGGGGCTGGTTCAGATCATCTCTACACAGATCTTTTGTTCTTTTTTCTTTTGTTTCGTTTGGATCATGTATCTACTCATACTGATTCTCTTTAGTTCTTTTTCCTTTTGTTTGCTCTTTTTCTCTCTCTCTCTCTCGCTCTCTTTTTTCCAATTAGTAGCTCTAGTCATTCTAATTTACAATATTCCCTTTAATTTCTTAAAAGCTGATACAGCAATATTCTTTTGGATAGATTAGACTATTAAGGCCATGTTTGGTATAAGCTTCGTTTGTATGACAAGTTTATTTGGTTAGCTTATAAGCTTCTTGTAATCAAATAAGCTTCGTTTATATGACAAGCTTCTTTTAAAAAGCTCGAACTTATCTTATAAACTTCTTTTAGTAGTTTTTCAAATAAGTTCGTTGAAATTTTTATTTCAACTAACTAATCAACTAATTTTATCGAACACTTTTATCATATAAACTAATTTTTCAACTTTAAGCTTGAAAATCAGTTATAAGTTACACGTTAGCTTATCAGCTAGTTTTGTCAAACATAGTATAAAAGCTCATAAGGACAGCGTTCGGGTAAGAGTTTTGAGTCAATACTCAATACAAAGTATTTATGATTTATGAAGAGGGTCATGTCTCTGTTCTTTTTTTTTAAAAAAAAAAATAAAAAATAAAATAAAATTGAAGACAAAGGGACCATAGTCCATTTATCATGTTTTTAAAACTTGCTCCTTTATTTGTTGGAGTACACCAAATACCCATTTCTTGACTTTCCTTGGACATATACAGTCAACTTTTTTTGGCTCATGAATTGAATTTGAAGCCTATCAAGTTTTAGGGTATGTCTGTAAGCAGTAAGTTAAAAGAAAAACAGTGCTATTGTCAAGTTTTGGGTGAAAAAGATAAATGTAGCTTTGTTTATTGGAAACTGGTCTCAAAGATGGCCAACAAATATTGGAAATAAGTCCAGCATATCTAGCTTTATTTGACAAATGATTAGAATAACTTATAGGCATAAAGCGAATAACCAAGTGAACCGATTGATAAGTGGGGAACGATATTGATTCTCTTGACAAAAAGAATTGAACCGAGTAAAAGTATTGTAGGGAAGCGTACGAATGAGAAAGATAAACGAGATCCTCTCTCGATAAAATTCACGATTGATAAGTGGGGAACGATATTGATTCTCTTGACAAAAAGAATTGAACCGAGTAAAAGTATTGTAGGGAAGCGTACGAATGAGAAAGATAAACGAGATCCTCTCTCGATAAAACTCACAAGAGTCAATCAATTCTTATTATCCAATTCACTCGAATGGTGTAAAATAAATATTATTATTATTATTATTAGGTATCTTGAAGAATAAGTTAGGAATTATATATTATTACAAAAGATCTTGTCTTGTTCGACAAGTTAGTTTAGGGTTTTGCGTGTCTTATTTAAAGACTTATCCTCTTTGTTATTCAGTGGTTGATTATGACTGAAATATGAATTGTTTGTGAGTTTTACGAGATAGTATCTCGTTTATCTTTCCCACTCGTAGGCTTCCCTACATCATTTGGTATCAGCAGTCAGTACGATTCGCAATGTCGCCGGGACGACAAGATGCCGCAAACGAATGATGTGACGCAACCTTCAACGATCGGTTTCAACAGATCGACTACCGATTTCAACAGTTGGACGAACGTTTCACGGATTGGCTTGTCGATCTTTCGACGGGGATCGAGGATTTGCGTTTGACGCTTGACAACGTGGTCTGGGATTTGCAGACGAACCGTGACGCTGGCAACCGGGGCGTGCGCGGGGGAGTTCGCGGAGGATGTGGAGGCCGTGGTCCAGGCGGGGCGCCCCGCCGGAGATCTCCACAACCACCGTCCGGTGACAAAGACGGCGAGGAGATAATCACGGAGGTGAATCCTATCGATGATTATCCACTCCCGCGCATTGAGACTGACCCCTTTGCTCCATACGACAGCCGTGACATGTGGTGACGGGGCCCGGTCTTCGTGGACGGCGACGATCAACGCGACGACAAAGGCAGACGCGAGGAGGCTGCCTTCGTCGGCGGATATCGTGCCCGACGCGATTGGGATTTTAATGGCGAATATGGTCAATGGGAGGGCCCGTTTCGCTTTGATATCCACGAATTCGACGGAGAGCAAGTTGACGGGCCATTGTACGACGGTCCACCAGTGTTTGATGAAGGTCCTGAGGAGGTGGAGGAGCGTCTTACCGGCAAAGTGGACGGTCTCTACGATGGTTTGCCGATTTTTGATGAGGAGCCTTCGAGGACGAAGACATCTTTTTGCGACAATATGGGTCCCACGTGGAATGTCGCAGATGTTGAGCCTTCGAATGGGAAGCCATTGTTTAGACCCGATTTTCGGAGTATCTTGACCGAAGATGGTTTTTCAGAGCCGAAGCCGAGACTCGATAACGGGTTGGTCATTTTTCGATTGTCTATCGTGAAGTCTCCCAACAACGGGATGTTTGGCCGCAGTTATGGATTTGAGCGCGGTGAACGATGTGGTATGTTTGGTGTTACTTTCGCTATGTGGGTTATGCGTATGGAGGCGTGTGCTTGTGCCTTTGCACCAGTTCAGTACTTGCCCAAGATTATGTTTATCATTGGGGTTATTGGGTGACCTTCAACCTTCGTGTTCGATCGGGGCAAAAGCCGGGCTATTCCGGTTATGAGGTTTCCAACAGAAACGAGACAGATTTGAGGGCGAATCATGCTTAACCGGGCACTTGTACGCTTCCTTACATCAAAAAGTGGATACGTAATACTCTATTATGAACTTTTTAAAAAATTAGGGTATTGCATGAAAAAAAATACTTTTTCTATTTAACAAACCACATTGTTAATTTCATATACTTTGTAAGACAATTGTCAAATTTAAAACTTTATGTGACCAATTTAGAAAAAGATCATACTTTTTTTAAACGATAGACTAATTAATAAATACTACATATTTACAGGCTAGAAAACATCCTGCACCAGTCAACCAATTACCTATTAAGCTGAATCTAGAAAGATGTTTACTCCAAGGTAGCCTAAAATCCCGAACACAAACTAAACCAACTTAAGTGCAAACTAACAAACGCCTCTATAATGGACAATAACTACCACATAAAAAATACTAACACACCGAAATAATATAAAAAAAATTTTAAAATAAAAATAACAACACACACCTACATTAGCTATTGAATAAAACCTCCCCTGCTTCTCGCGAGCCCTCTGCTATAGACACCCGATCCATCACACGTGCCAATCTCCACAATCAAAAGCTAAAAGCCTTAAAAGAGAACTGCAAATATGAAGATCCAGACCTAAAAACTTTAGACTTACTCAAAGAGGCTAGTCAGATATGGCGAGGAGAGAGTCCCAAGCCCAGATCTGAACTCCCAAAGTCTTCAAGTCAGGAGACAAACGGACGCCGGTGGAGCAAACACGGTTAGCCTCGCTGGAGGAGTCACCATCTTCAACCCCAACCCGAGGCCCGGAAAAGAGGGGGTGAGGCGGAGAACCTGCTATCGTTAAGCCCCATCCGCAACCAAAAAGGCAGAGAGAAGACAAGACAACCGCTGCCTAGCCCAGCCCGTGGCCGGAGAAACGAGCAAGCCACAGACGACAGATGAGGGGAGGGGGGCCCGGGAAATTATTTTTTTTTTTCCTTCTTCTGCCGATCGAGAGGGTTCTCTAGACAAGAAGTCAAAGGAGGTCAAAGTTACATTAGATAAAGATAATACTTTGAAATGTTAAATGATTTTTCCTAATGAAAAATGAGTTCTTAAACCACAAGAAGACGGTAGAAAGGTGGTCTTGTGTACAATGATATAATATATTTGACAATGCATAGTCGTTGTTAGGGACGAGCATGAGTCGGTACAATTCAGAAATTAAGAAATCTTTAGAACCGTATCAAAATTCAGAGAACAGTAAAATTCAATCTCAAGAACCGTACCAAAAAAACGGTTCGAATTAGCTCGAATATTTTTAGTTTTTGGTACGATTCAGTTTGGTCTTCGGGACCATGGGGATGGTTCTGTTCAGTTAGTTTCGATTCATAGCTCTGGAGATTTTTAATTAATTTTTTAATTTATTCTAATGACTATTTAGTTATATTTAATTTTTGATATGCTTTAAAAAAAAGGCCATTCGTTAATGCTTAACCATATAAAGATTTCATTCAAAATCAACTTTAGAAAATATAAAAGTAACTCAAAAGTTTAATTAAGATTAAATTTGTGCAACTAATAATAGAAATATTAAATTCAAATAAAATATAATATATTTTTTTTAAAGTATTTATTTAACTTTTCATACCATTTTAATTATAAAATGGATATGACTAAAAAAGTATCAACAAATATAATATAAATATATTTCAATTAATTGTAGATCAAGATTACAAAACATAAACTTTAAGTTATGTTTAATTGTTATTACTATATGTTGTTATGTATTTTAAAATACTAAAATTATATAGTACTAAAGTTGACATAAAATATATGAACAAGACATATCCATTGTTATAACTCGATTCTAATTTTTATTCGTTGGTTCAGTACAATATGAAATGGTTCGATTTGGACCTCGACACAAATATTTGTGAAATCTCCAGAACCATACTAATTATTTTTTCTGTTTAGTTAAGAGAAAGTCAAACGATCATGGTTATTTCAGGTTGGTTTTCGAAACGACCTTGAATTCTTTAAGTCCCATGTTTAGGATTGGTTTTTATGCATTTGTATTTACTATAAATTTTTAATTCTCAACAGTTATTTATTTATTTGTTATATGTCTTTTATATATATTGTTGTTGATGTGTGTTTGTGCCAACGAGACCATCGAGGCGATGACTTTGTTATTATGGGGTATTTTGACCTTTTTAGGGTGGATTTTAAGGTGTTAACGATCAAAAGCAAAGATGAGTATGTGGCTAGTTTTTTTCAACGATTCAAGGCGCCTGTATCGGCTATTTACTGTTTATAGATTGGGCCGCTCCTAGATCACTTTTGTATACAAGCATCTGAAGGGTTGAGAACTGGTTCAATGCGACAACTTTTTCCAGTGTATTTCTAGTGTATGGTGAATGAAAGACTACAGAACTTCGACTATCTATTTCTAGTGTATTTTCTGGTGTGTAAAACTGATGATCGCTAGGGCTTCCGGACCCTTCCTTTTATAGAAGAGAGGTATTTAAAATATTATTTTCTTCAAGACACATGGCAGCTTAAGATTGGATGCATGGTGACAAGTCTTTTGCAACTTGAGCAAGTGACTTATCTTTTAGGGCGGTGAGAACTGGTTCAATGCGACAACTTTTTCCACACTGACTTAGGGTCGAGCTTGGACGGGTCGTGATTGACTAGAGGGTAACTTTCCTTCTAGGCGTGATCGGCATGTTAACCTCGTAGCTGGGAACGAGGTCGGCCGGTTGGTGGGATCAACATCTACCTTCTTTATTGTAATACTTTCAGGCGTTCATTGCATGGCTTGGACTAGAGATGGCGTCATAAATATTTTAAGCGTCTTTATTTTCGGTTGACAAAATTGGGTATCAATTAAGGCACCCAGGTTTATAGGGTAGACAGTAACTTTGACTGGTCATAGAAAGCTATGTATTCTTCTTGAGTTAGACCGATTTCAAACGTCTGTAAGTGGGTACGTTGAAAGGTCTTTTATAAAAACAGGAAAGTTGCATCTTTTATAATTCCGAAAATGGTAATGATGGCAACTTGGGCGGCTGATTATGACGTCTTTCCAATAATGTCTTGCCAAGTGTGGGTTAGTGAACCGTCAGGCATGTGAAGGGACATCTTAAAACGTTGTCTTATTTAATTAATGTAATGGGCAGATCGAGAGTTCTTATTTAAAAATTAATAACTTTTGTATTTGTTATAGGGTTTTCATATATAAATATCAAATTAATTTGATGAGTTTTGATTTAATATCTATATTGCATATATGAAATAAATAAACATTCTTTTCTTATTATAAAATTAAATCATATATCAATACAAAATAAAAAATAAAAAATAAAAAATTATATATAAATTAATAAAGTTATCTATAAATTTATTACGTATTATATATGAATTAGATAAATTATTATAAAATAACACAGACGAATTGTACAAGTGAAACATTACATTTTAAATATAAATAATAATTAATTTAAAAATATTTGAAATTTAAATAAAAGAAACTTATCTCTTATATTTTTTCTAATAATTTCAATATATATTTTTTAATAAAACGACACATCAATTTTAGAAGTTATTGATAAACTTATTACATAAACAAATAATTTTAGAAGTTATTGATAAATTTATTACATGAACAAATAAAAATCTAATTTTAAATATGAATAGTAATACAATTTTTTTATAAAAGTATTTAAAATTTAAATAAAAAAAACTTTATATGTATATATATTTTTAATTTATATATTTTGTAACTAATACCTGTTTAATTTGTATTATTAGTTTTCTTTAATTCAAATATTATTGTCACAGTACCATTTAATAGCTAGTAATGCAGTTTAGAGTTGATCGCCCTTCTATTCTAATTGCAAGAAACTGGAGACAGGCAAACGATAGAAAACAGTCCCACAGTTTCCTTTCTGCAATAGGCACGAGCACGATAAACCCAACCTTTTCCCGATTGCTAATTCTAGACCTAACAATCGTCTTCTTCAAAATCCCCGGTTTATTTCCCCCGTTTTGTTCTCTGGATAGATAAGCACCCAGGATAGAAAACGATTCCAAGCGGAGATAAAGAGCCAGGAGAAAAAAAATTCCGCCCTTGCTTTTAGGGTTTTCAGTTGCCAGGATGTCGCCGGAGAAGAAAGCTTCGGAGGGCATAGCTTTGCTCTCGATGTACGGTGACGAAGACGACGAGATGGAAGACCTTGATGAAGAGAGAGAAAACCCTCGTGAAGAGGATGCTATCCCCCCTCCGGCGTTGGATGGCGTCGCCGTGAAAGATGACGATGATGTTATTGTTGGTGATTACGGCAATAATGGGAATATGCAGCGGCCACAGGAAGAGAGAGGTTTGAACGATAGCTCTACTCCTAGTAAGGAATTTAATTATGTTACTTCCTCGGCATCTGCAACTCCACAGCAAGCTCTCTTTTCACCTCAGCAGCAGCAGCAGCAGCAGCAGCAACTGAGTAAAAAGAGTCGGATGCTAATTGTGGATTATGGGCACGAGGAGGGTGCAATGTCTCCGGAGGCTGAGGTTTGGCATACTTTGATATGTGACATCTGTTGTTTTTTATTTTATGATTTAAGAATATATTAAGTTGTTGATTGGTTATGTTGTAGGATGGTGAGATCCCGGAAGCTGGTCGAGTGATGTATGGGGAGATGCTTCAAACTAGTGATGGTATGTAAAGCTTTTGAAGTTGTAATCAGTATGCTATATAGGTTCTGTATGTGTTTGATCTATTATCATGATTTGGTTGAGAATTTGAGTAACAGAAGCATGCTGGTATGTTAGGATGCCATAGTTTCTTCACAAAATTAGACATTTTGAAATAAAGATAGGCCGAGTAATGATATAGAGAATGTGTTGGTGAATGCATTACCAACTCTTGTTTTGTTTTTAAATTTCTTTCCTGTTACCACTTACTCCACGGAAAGCTTATGTTTTGGTTCTTGCTCACATCGTCTTTCAATCGTATGTTTATTGAGGTCCTGGCATTTTTTGTTTCATTTTTGGGAAGATTCATATAAAAGAATGGGTAAGCTATATTGCACTTTGAATTCATTGAAGTTATTAGTTATATATTAAGAAATTGGTCGTACTTTACATTGGAATCTTTTAAAGCTGTTGAGATGTTCTTTTAACTACATTTGTATTGATATTCTGTGCCTTAGGTGAGTCTGATAAAAAATCACCAGGAATATCTCGGCTTACTACACCAAGCACTCAAGCAACACCACCTCAGTTGTTGGAGCCAAGTGATCAGCCTGAATCAGATGGTATGAGTTGTGCTGTAAAGGAATCAGAATCTGGAGGGATTGAGGATGCAGTTAATGTCTCTGTTGAAGACAAAAAAGATGTTGACCCATTAGACAAATTTCTTCCTCCTCCCCCCAAGGTCAAATGCTCTGAAGAGTTGCAGGTTAGTGAATACTCGCCTCTTAAAGAATTATTCCGTTATATTTCACATGAGATGATGTGGAGCTGGTTGCAAAGTGTTCTTTAACGTGGTTTACTGTCAAGTTTATTCTTATATCTTAGAAAATTCGATGCCCAGAATAATGGGAAACTCAGGATTGAGATGGTGATGCAGTCGACCAGTTTATCTGTTTGCAATAGATTCATCATTTACTGGATTAAAATATGTTATCCTGATATGAAAATTTTCTTGATTAGCCTTTTGTTACCACTTTTAGGAGAAGATCATCAGGTTTCTTGCGCTTAAGAAGACTAGTGGCAGAAGCTTCAATTCTGAGGTGCGGAATAGAAAGGAGTATCGGAACCCGGACTTTTTGCTGCATGCTGTGACTTACCAAAATATTGATCAGATTGGTTCATGCTTCCCCAAAGATGTCTTTGATCCTCATGGATATGACAAAAGTGACTTCTATGATGAAATAGGTTAGACACTTGTCTAATGCTATGCATTTTATTTCCTGTCCATGTGTGATGTGGAACGCTCAAATGAAAATGATATAGGTCATTCCATATGATATGTGTTTGATTAAGTTAATAGCCTATACAGAAGAAGAAATTTTTTGGATTTTGAGAATACTATTACGGTGTGTTCGGTTGAAAATTGGATTGTTCATGAATATATCCTCATGGTATTGAAATTTTTTCCTTCCTATTATATCACCCTCTATTATATGTTTGCTTACTTCGTGGGAGATTCATATGAAGCATTTGAAATGAGTTGTTTGGTTTAGCAGCAGATATGATGTATTGGTACATTTTTACTTAATTGCTCCTTTTAATACATATAAACCTAAAAATTTCCTTTCCATCTACTTTCATGATTGGAACCATTGGGTACTGTTCTCACATTTTCCTCATTAGAAGCCATCGTCTATTTTTCTTTCCCATTTTCACATTTCTGAAGCAGCAATTTTCTGAAACATGAAATAAAATGAAATGAAAAAACTAGCTGGCCAGAATATAAGTACCTCACAATGGACTCCAAATGTGGTCATGTTGGTCCACAACATTATTTCATTTCGATGTTGTATTCAGTTCAGGACCGAAACAAAATGTAAAAAGAAAATCTACTGAAGATGCAAGACAAGATGAGAATGAAAATGGCAGAAATTAATCTTAAGATCTGAGTAATATGTATGAAATTGATATTTTGTGAGGAAATAGTTGAAATTCATTCCACATCCCAATAACTATCAAACTGATAAATGTTATTTATCAACGCGAAATTGGGGTTTGATCTTTCAGAATATAGAAATTTAAATTCACAGGAGAATAAAAGTGAGAACAGAAATATTTGGTACGTAATAGGTTAGTGCTGGAAGAGTCATTGTTGACAATTCTCCTGGCATAGTGCTAATAATGGACTAGATCAAAATGGCTCAATTAAATTCTAGTGCTTCTTCTTTAGTTTCTGGAAAAAAAATATATCAAACGGCGCAATGCACCTTGGGTCGCTACGGAAACAGCCTCCTTGTATAATTACAAGGGTAAGGTCTGCGTACAACTGACCCCTCAGACCCCAACATGTTGGGAATATACTGGGTATGTTGTTGTTGTTGTAATAGGTTAGGGGCTAGGACCGTAGAATACCACAGATTAGTATTCAGTCAGATTTTTCATCCCATGTTAGTTCAAACAAACAACTTAGTCCATGCTAATAACTATAAATCGAATGATATCCGGCCCATAACTGGAAAGGAAAACAAACGGGTGCTTAACCTTTTTCGATGCTAAATTCTGATGTATCTAGTGGTGGAAGCTTTGTATAGATTGACATGATCACTTCACTTGTGTAGTTTTTTCCTCCTTAGACACTTTGTGGTGTCCACCTTCATAGAGTCTAGAGTGAAGACCATCTGAGAAAGCTACCTGTCTTTGTATCTATGAGCTGTCATTTGTCTCGGGTACACTTTCTGAACCCTCTCTTGCAGGTAACATCTGTAGAATCCTTCTGAGTTGGAGTCAAAGTGGTGTATTACACAGTAACGAACAAAATAATAGCTTGACATGGTCTCGGTATGAATATAGTTTTCTCCTACGAAAAATCTGAGTATCAGGTTAAAGCCAGCACATGGCTAGGCTCCATTCTAAGAAGAAAGTAAAATTCTGTACTTCTACAGCTATAAATTGCAATGATGGATTTAAAAACCATAGTGTATTGTGTTTATTTTGAAATAAATCCCTTTATTTCATGCAGTATAGTCCTAGTGTCCTAGTTTTGATAGCTGCATGATGTATTGCTTGTGATTTCTTCTATTGTAGACAGTAGATACTATACCTTCTTTTATTTATTTATTTATTTTTTTAAAACAAAAATCCATTTGTGCCTGTTACCATTTTACCGTGCAAGCAGAAGCCGACATGAGGCGGGAAACGGAAAGGAGGGAGCAAGAAAAGAAGAAAAACCAAAAGGTGGATTTTACTTCTGCAGGAGTGCAGCCAGGACTTGTTATTCCCACTCCTAAAATTAGCTTGCCAACTCCAGGTACTTGAAATAACTTCATCCATTTGCTTCATCATATTCTGTTTGATTGTCTCAGAATGTTCAAATTTCCTGTGTTTTCTTTTTCCCCTTTACTTTAGCATTGGGTATTTGTTTTTATAGGATTTAGTGCTGTTGGTGGTGGGGTGACAAATGTGACTCCGGCTACTTCAGATGTTACAGCTCGGGATGGAAGACAGAACAAAAAGTCCAAGTGGGATAAGGTTTACTCTTTTGCACTGGTTTATAGCTTCTGGTTGAGTGTAATGAGTTTAAGAAAATTGAATCTTTTTTTATTTATTTTTTTAATTTTTTTTTTTTCAGGTGGATGTTGATCAAAGGAATTCCCTAAGCAGTGGTGGGCAGGAAAATTTATCTGCTGTTGGTGCTCACGCAGCACTTATATCCGCTGCTAAAGCTGCTAGTGGATACTCTGCTTTTGCGTAGGATTCCGTATTTTGCATACTTGTTTGTTATATCTTGCTCTCCTTTCCCCATGTCATTCAGTTTTGCAACTATATTGATCAAATTGGATTAAAAGATATGTGATCTATACATTTTTCTTATCTCAAAGTATGAACGAGACGTGATTTTAGGTGTTACCTGAGCATATGAATCGTACTTTTACCCTTTTGCTAATCCTTTTTGTTCATAATATTCAGTCAACTCAAATTTGTGTGGTTTGCAGGCAACAGAAGAGAAAGGAGGCAGAAGATAAGCGGTCTAGTGATAAGAGGTTGGAGAGAAGATCATAGAGTTGCCCTTTTGTCGAGCCTTAACATACGTATAAGCATGATCATTGACATTTAAGGTGAAAAGAATCGTTATTTATGAGAATTTTAGCTTGTATCCCATCTGAAGGGCATACGTTGTATACATACATGGCTATGAATGAAGTTCATTTTTATATTTTTAGCTGTCAATTTTTGTTCTTGCTGGTAATAGGTACTTAAAAGTTTGCACCCTTAATGATTGTGTGATATTTAAGATATCTATCGAAATATTGAAGTGTTATGATGTTAAGACTTAAGATATCTATCGAAATTTGCTATAAATACGATTTAAGATTGTACATTTTAAAATTTAGGATTCAGTTGTACCAGATTCTATATTTTAAATTCAGAACATTAAATTATTCATTTATTGAGTCACAATTTAATTTCAATAGAATGCAGTAAAAAAAAATAAAATTTTTTGTCATATAAATTGGTGTACATGTATATTAATTCATATCCATAACATGAGAGCGAGAATTTGTTACAAGTACGATTAAAGATGTACGTTTAACCAGTTAGAATAGAATATTTGTGCATTTTCAAATACTAGTTAGATTAGACTATTATTATGTGTGAGTATGACTTTCAAATATTGGTCTTGATTCATTATTAGATATGAAGACGTAGATTCAAAATCTATATACATAATCTAATTCAAATATTTTCTATTTGCTTCAGTTAATTATATATAATATGTTGACAAACAATTAAACAAAGGTAATACCAACTATTTTCACTATATCCATGATCATAACTTGTCATGTTAAATTTGACTCATTATTTTCATTTGAAAACTATAAAAAAAAAGAAAAAAATAAAATAAAATTGGAGGCTTCCTAATCTCCTGAATCTAATAAATTACTAAATAAACTATTGATAAAAAAAAGAGATTTATTAATTAAGGCTCATAAAGACAGCCCAGCAAAGCCAGGGTCCAACGGTAACATATCATTTGCAAGTTCCTTAAGGGTCAATTCTGTAATTTCACCCTAAAGTTAACGTTTGCATTTTCCCTGTCAAAAAAGGCGAACTACAAAACGAAGCAAATCAATCCTTTCTGTTCAAAAAGCCTCTGTTTGAGTGGCTTTCAACTGCTCTCTCTCAATCTCTCCACCACTTACTTACGAATTCATATAAAAATATAAACCCACTTAACTATTTCAGTCTCATTCACGTTGGCTCGTTTTTTTACTCTTTTTTTTTTCAACTTTTTTTGTGGTGATTGATTTCTTCTCCTTTTGCTTTTTCTTCACTTTTTATCGAGTTGTGTAATAACTCGGACCCCATTACTTCTGACCAAGCCTTTTCATTTTCTTTTTGTTGTTTTTTTGTCTGTTAGCGTTAACCCTTTGCTTAATTAACTAATTTGGTGAAGGCCCTTTTGGATAAATTGAGGGAAAAAAGTTGTATAAGGAGAGTTGAGGTTAGTGTGTGAAATGGCTGCTCCAAAACCAGAGGAAATAAGTCATCCGCCAATGGACCAACTTCAGGGCTTAGAGTATTGTATTGATTCTAACCCTTCTTGGGGTATGCCATTTTATTCTTTCCTTGTTTTCTCTCTTTTTTTTTATTGAATTTTTGTTTGTTAGTATGCAAAGTGTTTGATTGTTTGTGTTAAAAACAGGGGAGGCCATAGCACTTGGATTTCAGCATTATATATTGGCATTAGGGACTGCTGTGATGATTCCTTCATTTCTTGTTCCTTTAATGGGTGGAAATGACGTAAGCTAATTGTCATAAATATTTATTCATCACTACTTATTAAGCTATTTTTCACTTTATCAGCTGGTTTCTGATTCATAAAGATGGCTGATCATAAATTAGTTTTATTTTACTTGCCTTGCTGATTTTCTTTGGTTTGTATGTAATGTTCTTGATTTCTTATGATTTTGATGTGTCCATTGAGAATTTTTATGACTAGTGTGTGTAATAATAATTTCCCTTTTGAATGCTTGTAACTAGGATGATAAAGTGAGGGTAGTTCAGACTTTGTTGTTCATAGGTGGAATAAACACATTGCTGCAAACTTTGTTCGGGACTCGATTGCCGACTGTTATTGGAGGGTCGTGGGCTTTCATGGTGCCTATAATCTCGATAATTCACGATCCATCCCTCGAAAGAATTACGAACCCTCATATGGTACGATATAAGGATATAGTTTTCTTCAATCAGAATGTAGATAAAAATATTATCTTTTTCGACCAATTCATCTAATGATATTTTCTTTCTTATGGAGCAATGTAATGTATATTGAGTGCAACGGCATAAATTTGATTTTCATTTTGCTGATTTATTTGAAAAAAAAAAAAAAGCATTCTTTATATAGTGCCAATAGTCTCATGTTAAGAAAATTTATAATGAAATTTGAATTTTTCCATCCTTCAATGAACATTCTTTTTACTATAATTTTTAACCTGCAGAGATTTTTGAGTACAATGAGGGCAATACAAGGAGCACTTATAGTAGCATCGAGCGTGCAGATTATTCTGGGCTATAGTCAGCTGTGGGCAATATGTTCAAGGTATAGTTCTTCGCCTTGAGATATCACTCATCGGCAATTTTTTGTGGAAAGAACTTAACTTTTTTACTTTCTTGAATGAATTAAGAACAGCAAGTTTTTTTTTTCAGGTTTTTCAGTCCACTTGGGATGGTCCCAGTAATTTCACTAGTGGGTTTTGGTTTGCTTGATAAGGGCTTTCCAATGGTGAGTAGTGAATTTATTTCCTGTAGTCACTTTTCATCTCATAAGCATAATGTTGCTTTGTCTGTGAAATTGATTTGCCTGGAATACGTAATAACTCTTATTATCAGGTTGGAGGATGTGTAGAAATTGGCATTCCAATGTTCATCTTATTCGTTGCCTTCTCTCAGGTGGGGTTATTATAAATAACAGTAAATATTCCCAAGATAAAGCAGTTAATATTGGAGTTTAGCAAGCAAAATCGCATTATTTGTTGGTAAAAATTCCTTTTGTTTTTTGTTTCATCGTTTTTTGTCATTGCAGTACTTGAAGCACTTCCAAATGAAGAAAATTCCCATACTCGAGAGATTTGCACTATTACTATCAGCGACTGTAATATGGGCTTATGCACACTTATTGACAGCAAGTGGCGCTTATAGGCACCGTCCAGAGTTGACTCAAATCCATTGCAGAACAGATAGAGCAAATCTCATATCTTCTGCTCCATGGTTAGTATGCATCACTAGTAAAATCTTGAGCTACCAAGAAAGTCAATATATTCTTTTGACTAAAATTTTTGCGTTCTTTTTTGGAACAAAATTAACTCAACAGGATCAAAATCCCGTATCCGCTTCAATGGGGTGCGCCTACTTTTGACGCTGGCCATGCTTTTGGAATGATGTCTGCTGTATTAGTCTCCTTAATTGAGGTAAAAGTGTCTCCTTTAAAAAAAAATAAATTAAAATGATGGGAAGTTATTAGCAATTTTAGCTAGCATGTCATATGATATAGCAAGAGTTTTTTTTTTGTGTGTTTGTGTGTGAAGTCAACTGGAGCATATAAAGCGGCATCTCGTTTGGCTAGCGCCACACCGCCTCCAGCACATGTCCTCAGCCGTGGAATCGGGTGGCAGGTCTGTAATTTATAAAGGGCTTCGAGTTTTTAAACTTTTTATTTCAAATCCCGACTAAAATGACAAGATTGAATCTTTAGTAAACCTTTTTTTAACACTATCATTAGCAAGATTTCAAATTTATCTACTTTGTACTAAATACACAACTAGTGAAAGGAGCTTTGAGTTTTTATTTAATATCCCGACTAAAATGACAAGATTGAATCTGGGGCAAACCTTTTTAACACTATTATTAGGAAAATTTCAAATTTATCTACATTATGTACTAATACACAACTAGTGAAAGGAATTCTTGAATGTGTTGTGTTCTTTTATATGAGCAGGGGATTGGCATATTGTTGGGCGGCTTGTTTGGTACGGCTACTGGATCAACAGTCTCAGTGTAAGTATTTTGGCTAGCTTTTTTTTTTTAACTTCTTCAGATTTTATGAATAATTGGAAGATAAGTGTTTATTTATAAATAAAGAAAATATGCATATATATAAATCAGGGAAAACATTGGTCTTCTTGGAAGCACTCGAGTTGGCAGTAGGCGAGTAATCCAGATATCAGCTGGTTTCATGATCTTCTTCTCAATGTTGGGTATGTTTACATAAAAATGCCATCTATGCCATCTCCAAA